TTAGTTAAAAAAAGTTTAAAAATGACAGATCATAGTTATTGAAAAAATTAGAGAATGTAGAGAATTGATATTTGAGTTTGAAATTGATGATAATATTTTATCTAGGAGAACAAAACGTTAATATTTATGAATTTGTGCTGTTTTATACAAAATGAACATGATATCAATTTTTCATTTTTTTTTTTGCGGAGTTTCCCTTTAACTTTTAAGACTTTTACTGCTGTAATTTTTGGTTTTATTGTGCTATCATGATACTATATTAAAATTCATTATTATACAACGAATGAATAATATTCTCTAAAATGGCATTGATAATTTCTCTTTTCGGTATAAATGGACTGTTTTTTGATAAATGTCCTATCTATGCCCTAAAATATTCTCCGCCGTTGATAGTGATACACTTTTGGTGAATGAATTGAATATGAATACACATTTTAACATTAGTCAGTGTAAAATAAGTTAAAATCATCACACGGTATTGTTTAACACATGAAACTCTGAGCCGGAATATGTACAGAATGTATTAACAAGGAAAATGCATACACATATAGAAAACATAATGACTTGTGCAAGCACAGTACAAGATTAAATGTTCTTGAAACATTGTAATATGCATTATATAGACATAATCTTTCTCGTGTAAACTCAGGGGCGGATCTAGCCATTTTTAAATAGGGGTTCCCAACCCAGGATAAAGGGGGGATTCCAACCATATGTCGCCATGCAAATGCATTGATAGTCCAAAAATAGGGGGGTCCAAACCCCGGAACCCCCCTCCCCTGGATCCGCCACTGAAACTTAACATTTCTTATACCAATTATGGAATATGCATACGTGTTTCGGGATAGTTGTACTCAACAAGATTCTAATAATTTAAAACATGTTAAGTTGGAAGCAGGAGGAATAGTAACTGTGTTGCCCGTGTATGTCAGTCGTTAAGCTACATATTTCGAAACAGGCCGGAAATTGCTAGTAGACAGAAGAAAGTCAAGAAAGCTCAATGTGTTATATTCTTTACATAACGAGACTAAACTTGATTATCTCTGCGTTTAATGCTCCCACTTATTGGTCAAATTCAAATTATGATTTACGAAATAGTAACAACTATGTAGTACCCCGCGTCATATACTAGATATAACCAGAACGTCTTTTTTTCCCCATCTACTACAATTGATTATCGCACCGCGGGCAAATTATCACGTTGTGATTGGTTTAACGCCGTCACGTGGTGACCCCCTATGGATCCGTAGGGGGTTAGTAAATTCCATAGTGGGTTCATGACGTCACGTCTACTGTTAATGGTGACGTCATCTATAGATGTTTTTGTATTTCATTGTTTATTTTTCTACAAAACGCTGCAGAAAAAGTATCGCGTGCGATAAATTCGTTATACGGTTAACTACTGACCCCCTACGGACCATAGAGGGTGAATAAAATGCATAGGAGATTCGGCCTCCGGCCTCACCCCCTATGGATTTTACTAACCCTCTATGGATCCGTACGGGGTCAGTAGCGAACCATATAACTTATAATGGAATTCTAAACCCCGACATATGGACTTCCCGAAATGTAAAAACAGCCACCCTTCTACTTTAGTTGTGGTTTTAGAAAACTTAATATCATTCATGGTTCAGAAATATGCGAAGCTCTTTAAATGCAGATCTGCACCGTGTTAATATTAAACTAATTCCCGCATGCAGCTGTAGCCATGCTGTTGAGGATTGTATTCATAGTTTTTTCGAGTGCCCATTTCACAATGAAGCAAGAGAAATATTGTTTTTGATTTTAAAAAGATATGTTCAATCTCATATCAGAATTACACAAAGATTCAGAACTTCGCATACAATTAAAATTCTGAATTCCTACTTACTCGCACTTCACGCCAGTTCATATTACAACAATATTATATTGCATTTTCGTTTTTGTTTATAGTTTGTATTACATGCATTCCTATTTTGTTTTTCGTCATTATCTTACTATATGTATTTTGTGTTTGTATAAGGAGAGGTGTTATAACTTGTGTTCAATCCCATTTGCTACTTTTGGAAATAAAATGTGTTTAAACAAAAATAAAACAAAAATAAGGTAAACGGAAATAAGTCACACACAAAGAAAAACTCACGTGAAAAGTAACAAACTTGTACATTTGGTACATGTACGTGTATATATATATAAGAAAAACAGTCACAGAAATCACTAATCCATGTCAATGTTAAGTTTTTAAAACAATACAACACAGACTAGTAAAATGACTTTAATTTACTATTTTCTGTCCTTGTAATTCATCTACATAAACTGCCTATACAGAATATAATACGGAAGGAATCAACATGTTGATATAAAGACGTCCGTAGAAATATCGCAAATGACCACCTCAATATTAAGCACTAGGGCCTTAATGGGATGATATAGTTGGCACAAAGGACATGAAATATACAAGCAGACTATGTTATTATAAATAAATAAACAATTCCAAATTATATAATCATATCTTTAGTAATTACCATGATTACAGTGTTATTAAATGTTTTATCGACACGTGCCATACTCTATTGATTGTCATCTGTGTGTGATCGATTGAAATTCATGTTCATTCAACCAGAACCCGTTAATTACGCACGTGTATACAGATTGTAAATGAATATATTATTTCAGCATGTTACAGTGTTTTTGTTTTATGGGTCTTGTATTTTGTAAAAAAAAATCAAAATTTGTGGTATTTCTACGCACCGGAAAAAAGTTGTTTTAAACATTTTTTTTATCTATTTTCCAATAAGTTCAATAATAGAGAAAAGAATATTTTGTTATCACAACACACACGCACAACTTAATCTAAAAACTTACTTGTCATAGCTTCATATTTTACTGGATAATCAGAGTTTTATGGAAGTTGCATGTCGATTGCAACTTTAGATACGAAACCATATTGACATTTTTGTAGAAAACCTGCATACTGCAATCATTTAACATAAATCCTGCATTTTCAACAAATTTCAATTGGTCTAGGAGAAAAATAATCAAAAGGAAAAAAACATGTTCCATACATAAAATATCTATTTCAATGGGAAGAACAATTGTTCCAATAGGTAGACAAATTTTCTCGGAAAAATAAATGTTCCCATGGGAAGAAAAATCGTTCCCATGGGAAAAAATTGTTCCCATGGGAGGATAAGCTGTTCCCATCAGAAAAGTTAAATTCCGAACATTTTTTATTCTTCATTTCCCATTAGAACTTTAAAATTCCCATGGGAAAAGTACTTTTTCCGATGGGAACTTTAAATTTTCCCATGGGAACTTCTAATATTCCCATGGGAATTTTTAAATTTCCCTTGGGAAATGTACTTTTAATCAGCTGTGGTGATAACAGTGACAACAGTGATACGTTGGGACATATGGGGAAATTTAATTATTTTAATTATCTATCACTTGGCCAAAAAATATTTTTGATATCTTGTAAAACAACAAAGTCAGATTTGCCAATTCTGGAATGGCAAATTTGTCCCGCACAGTGTTATAACCTTGCGGTTTGAAATACTAACGAAAAACCGAGTTCTTAAAAGTTGCGGGATACACATAAGAGCATCTTTCCTATATAGACTGACACTTTTGATTAAACGGATCTTCATGCAAAAAATCGTCGCACGCTGAAGTGACTCTTAATTAGTTGTGTAAACAGTGTAACGTCTTTTCATCAAATCTTTCTATTTTTTCTTTTCAAAATGTAACTGTTGTTTTATCTGGTTTGACTTTGTTGTCATTTATGTGCAATATGTGCCTATTAAATTATTGATTTAATTATTGTTTAACTTCTTAATGAGTACATATAGTAAATGCTATCACTTATGGTATATAACTCCTATTACCAAGTCCTAAAACTACTTAGATTACTAAAATATATTTATAGTAATCTCAGTCTAGTTCGTGATAGAAAGTTATATAACGTCCATTAGACAACAAACCCTTAATGTAAAATATGCATAATTTATTTCCATTGTGTAGTTTATTTTGGGGTCAGCGTGTACTCGATTATCGTTTGGTTAAACCAACGAGTATTAGACAGTGTTTCCTTATTGAGTTGACATTCCTAGTTTTAATGGATACCAACTTTAGTAACATTTGAATTTATAAATAATGTAAGGCATAGAGAAATAATAGAAGTGTACTAAATTATAGTTATGTATGTATAAACAAATGAGTTCAGATGTTTTGTAGACAAAGAATTTCAGTAGAAACCACATAAATGTATGTACCTGTAATCACTAATAAGGCACATCCATCAATCACTGTATTGTGGGAAGCTGGTGCAGACTTGTATAACCCAACGTCAGAAACTAAAACGTCTTGTAAGGTAAACTGAATATTCAAGCCATTCTTATTTAGATACCTGTATTTCTGGGAATTATTTATTGGAATTTCATTCGCAAAAATTGTTTTCTGTGTGTCTACGAGACTATCAAAAATTACATCAACACTTGATCGATCTGTTTGAGAGGTCCAAGTTATGTTTATGTTTGTTCTCAGGTCAGAATAAACCATGTTCTCTAGAACATAAAACACATTCAACAAAATAAAAAAAAGCAGATTGGTAAATCATGTCAATATAGTATAAGTTAATGTTTTCCTATTTTGAAAATACATGTATTTGTGTAAATTTAAAACTGTTGCTTAATTGTAAGACGTGAAACAAAATATAATTTGGTTATTCTTATTGACGTTTGTAGCCTCTTTTATCGGGAGAGACAATAATAAGCGTTTCATACGGTCGAACATAAGTAAAAAAATAAAGTACTAAAGATTTAAATCTCTTTAACATGTAACAAAATGTCATAGAGAGTTACAATTATTTGTATATTGAAAGCCAGTAATATAAATTTAAGGATAATATTTACAAGACTACTTTTATAACTTGTCCTGTGTGCCAAATATCATGTGTATGAGTATCGGCTATATCATATCACACGTATACACTTAGTTTACTCAATTAATCAACAAACCTGTTGCCCAAAATGTATGTTCTACGTTAGGGGACCATCCATGTATACTGTATTGACATCGCAGTTTTATTTTATATCGATGACATTTCTGAAGCTGAATTGCTGTAATCGTATGTTCAGCCACTGGATAGTATGAACTTCTTGTATAAACTATAGAATCTTCGTTATCATACAGTTTGAGTTCTGTTCGTACTATATAATCTAAAGTCACTGGAAAATTCCATGAGACTATGACACTCGTAGAACGTACGTCTATAACTATATCTTTCGGAGGTTCTGCAAAATATCATTTACAAAAGGTATGGGGTTATGAAGCACGCAAATTAAAAACGTAAATGCCTTTTAGCTGGTTGAAGCTAAATACAGCTTTTTGTAAACGAAGGTGTGTGTTAAACTAACATGATTAAGCTAAATCCATCAAATCGGCGTTTTTTAACAAAGAATGTGTATACTGAATACAAACATGTATGGCGTAACCATCTTCGTCCACATAAAGCTGTTAGATGCAACCAATTCTGCATTTGTTTTAAACTTTGCAATGTCAAACATGTATACTGTATAACATCACAGATAATAATAATATTCCTGGCCCTTACGAAAATTTTCTAGTGGTTACATCCACATACAGTGAATAGTATTGTTTTTTTCCATACAGAATTTGGTTTTGGTGTCCGATCTGTGATCTTACTTAGCTCATTTGAGAGGATTAATCGTTCTAAATTATCAATGGCAAATATTTTCTTCGAGTTCAGTATAAATAGAAACAAAAAAGAATGTCTGTATCAATAAGACCGTTTCTACAAATAATGTCGCCGTGAATGGCAATAGGAAAGGGTTAAAACATGAAAACAACACGTTAAATATGAATTTCATGCGCCAGAAGCGCTTTTCTAGATTTATATTCATCAGGAACGCTCAAAGCTTAACATTTGAAAGATATTAATGTATAAGAACCGGAACAGTTGAAGAGCTTAATGACCTAAAAGGATATAAAAATAGCCAAATCCATCTAAGGTCAACTTTGCCTGAGTTGATTTGTGTGTTGATTCGTAACTGTGACATTGTCACATTCCCTACATATCATATCGCTTATTTCAATATTTTAAACTATAAGTTGACGTTTAAAGTTTGATTTCAAAAGTCTTTTTCTCCAAGACGCTGTTAGTTTGTCTTCAATATATGAGTTTGAAATCCCCTATATATCGTCTGAAACATGTCATGAAAATTCACATTGACGAGTTGTGCAAAGAGAGATACTCAAGAGGAGCCATTGAATTAAGTTACCTTTCACAATTTTAAACGGACATGGTAGTCAAATATTAATTATGAATAGATATAAGAACATGTGGTATACATGCCACTGAGACAACTCTCCATTCAAGTCACAATTTGTAAAAAGTAAACCATTATAGGTCAAAGTACGGCCTTCAACATGGAGCCTTGACTCACATATAACAGAGAGCTATAAAGGGCCCCAAAATGACTAGTGTAAAACCGTTCAAACAGGAAAACCAACGGTCTAATCTATATAAAAAAGCGAGAAACGAGAAACACTTATGAACCACATCAACAAACGACAACCACTGAACAACAGGTTGCTGACTTAGGACAGGTGCAAACAAATGCAGCGGGTTTAAACGTTTTAATAAGCGCCAACCTTCACCCTAACCTGAAATAATAGTGTAACATCACAACATAGAAAGACACACTATAAATATCAATGGAAATGACTTAACTCAATCAAAAGACATATTAACAAAAAACGTGTAATTTATAAAACATACACTGAACGTAAAAAGTTGATCTATGACACAATGTAAACACAAAATTAATAAGAAAGGGGAGTGAGATGCAAAACAAAATCAGAAAGACAACTATGACCTTGGACAAAATGCCGTTAAATAAAATAACGTACACAGGTAAATAAAAATAATTTTGTTGTTAGGAGTAAATGGAGTACGGAAATATTTTTTACAAAATAAATAAATTTGTTGTTCATAGTACGAGAACAGAAGTGAAAATTTATCGTCATACTAAATACTTATCAAAGGTGGTATATATTAAAAATAGTGAGACGAGATATAACACAAAATAAGTTAACATAAATAACAAAAATGCATTACAAATTGTAGCAACAGATCAAATTAACACGAAAGTACGATTTGAGAGTACTCGCAGTTACTGAAAGCTAGTTAAAAGCCAAAAACAATTAATAATTAAAAATCATGCATCAGAGATTAAAATCAACTAAAACACATTCCAGGGATTTAGTGTTTTAACGTCATGGACAGTCAAAGAAGACTTGACTTGTGCAATGCCAAAATAAAAGTATCGACAGGCAGTAGGATAGTTAGGATTTAACCTTTTAATAAATATGTATAATGTTATATATAGATAAAGTAATCACTATATAGAAAATGAACGTGGATGTGTATTTCAACATCCAAAAAAAAAAACTTTGGAAAAGAATACAAATTTATTTATGTTTTAATTTGTTGACGACAAAATCAATATTTGTGCCAATGAAAACAATATTCAAAGATCATAAAATCATAAAATCCATTAAGACCACACACTCACCGACTGGACAAGTAACTAATGAATATGCTAAAAGAATGTTCGTCTCTGTTGCGGAAAAATAGTCTTTCCACTAATTTTATTTCCATTGTACACTTAAAAAAATGTTTGTAAATTGCTAATTCAAAAAAGTTTTCACTTACCAATAGAGACGCATGTCTTATTATCAGATGTCATTGCATAAAAATCGGGGCATATGCAACCAGATAATGTACTTTGATCACTACTGTATGTAGGTAATGGAAAACAAATATGGCTACAACCTCCATTACTTGTTTCACAAACGTTTTGTCCTACAAAATATTTTAAACAGTACAGTTGGGTACAGACCATTCATAAAATATAGTAAACGCACGTTTACGCTGCGTGCAAATATTTTATTTGTTTTCTTCGATTTCCGCGTTTACTAGTAAAACTGCGTGTACTATAATAAAGGTTAACGCGGTAAAAAAAGAAATTTCTGATGTCTACTCGAGTAAATGCTCGTTTACTCTGTGTCCATTTATTCAGTAGTTAACTTAAGATTTTACACCTTTTCCTATACGTGCATATGGAACTTCGCGTTTACTCTTTCCGTTAACTATCTTGAAAATTATAAATAAACTATATTTTCTTGTTAGAATAACTTTTAATTCTCAACAAGGCAACGCTTGAAGACTTGAAATATAAACAGATGACATAAAATGATCTCTGAACATTTGTTTTCAGACAGTACCCTCGAGATTATTTCAAAATATGTGTCGTAGTTCATTACGGTCCGGATACTCATTTGAAACACAACCATAAAACACACTACATGACTTCATGAAATCAAAATGATGCTGGTAACCAATGCAAGTCGATGTCTATATCCTGGACTTTTTGAAAGCTTTTGACACCGGACCACAAAATTAATATTACACAAAGTAAATATACATGGTGTGATAGGGCACTTAATTAATGGTTGGAAATGTTTCTAACCCAGAAAAAAAAGTTGTTATTGATAAAGAGCGAACTCGACCTGACAATATATACAGAAAATATAAATGCCAACCAAACAATTGATATTCAAAAGGAGCGAGCACGGATGCGTCAAAGTCATAATCAGTTGATATTATACAATTGTCTAACTATTTTGAAGATACACACCTTTAGGTTGTACTTCAACTGCAAATACTTGTATTCCCATCGGTGATCGAAGATAATTTGCAAGAATTGAAAAATCCTGCCCGGTGTTTTTATTTACTCTGCATACACTTCTATATTCCCAATTAGACCAATAAACATAACTGCCATACACCACCAAATCAAACGGCTTTGGTAAAACATTTTCGTTTTTAATTACGGTATATGTATCTGTTCCATCAAACCTTGTACTTTTAATTTGATTTAAGGAACCATCTATCCAATATAATCTTCTACCAATATGATCTACAATAAGAATAGTCACAACATCGTAAGCGGCCTCAAAATACATTTTAATCCAGGGAAAATGTTGAGCTCTTACCAAAATATAGAGTTAACCGTATATAAAAGATATCAACGCACATTTTTCGACAATTAAATCTACCAAAGTGTGATGTTATATTACTGTGTATTTAGTTCATTGAATGCGTATTTCAGACATAATATCGTTGTTAAACAATAAGTTCAATATGGCAACAGCAGGTATACAACAAAATGGTAATGATATCAATCACAACAAAAACTTGACCAAGGCTTATACAGAAGCCGTTAATGCAGGTTTAATAACTACAACTATCTGAGTGATCAGCCTCCTGTCAATTATGAAGAAACGCTCAGTTCAGTTAAACTGTATTTATTTTGGAAACCGACCTCCAGTGATGTGAGACCTAGTAAAGACCAGTACCTTACTCACATAGAATTTTACGTAGCCGTTAACTCATGTATCCTAGTGAGCCATCTGAAATGTCTACAGCGTGTCAGAGGTATGTGCTATTGACAGAGAAACTCTGATTACTAACAGCATTGCTGTACGTAGCAAGCTTATAATCATATGTATATTACAGAAGTCATACAGAAACACATGCCAGCACAATCAACGACAAAACACCTACCCTCAAAAAGTATAGAGTGTACTAGGGTAGGCCTTGAACGAAATCACAAAATCAGCATTTTCCATTGCAAATAAAACCAACAATATTTCAGGTGAAGAGGAAACCCCAAGAAAGAAATCAAAATCAACAAAACAAAAGAAAACAAATCTCAAAAACTTAAAAGTAATAAGTCAAACAAACAGACAACGATGTTTAAATTCAGTTGGTGAAATCATTTTATTTTGTGAGATAATTTACATAAATGTCATGTATAAAGGGGACTTTAGTGGTGCATTACCTTAACAGATTTGAACTTATGCGTCCATTTAGCAAAAGCGAAATGCTTGTGCTCTAACGATGCTCAACCATTTAAGGCGGGACTTTAAGTATGCTTAACAAAATCTATCTAAACAAAGTATGTTAGGATAGATTGGAAAGCTAATAAAATATTTGTTTTTACATTTTCAATTCATATTTAATATGTTTAACCTCATCGGAGTTTATTGCTAAGATTGAATGACAAAAGACAATAAAACGAATGCATTGTTTACGGAATATGAAATGTTAATGTAGAGCAAAAAAAGGTAAATGATACAGTTTATTAAGGCCTTGGCTAATTTTAGAATAAAACTTTGTTTTTAATGTTTTGTAAGCCTTTGCATCGTTGAAAATTTGAACAGGAACCGCAAAACTCATTCCTTACATATTTCCCATAACGGCTTGAACATTGTACTTAATTTGTAGTGCTGTGTATAAGGTGAAAAATAAAAATGTTATTTCTAAAAAAATACGAGAATAGTTAAATGTATTGTTCTCTTTGATCGTTTTTCTAATTGATATTTTAATGAAATACATTATAATGTCAATTACCTATTGTCATCCCATTAGGCCAGGTTATATCAGAGTTAATAATTATTCGTCTATCTCGTCCGTCCAATCCGCATCTTTCTATCCTTGATGAGCTCCCCCAGTCAGTAAAAACAATAAACTAAAACAAATATAAAACAATTATCTGAAACCAGCATTAACTGTTCTATCAAATGAAAAATACGTATAAAGTATTCGTGTGTGGCTCAAGGGTCAGTATATTAAGCGTATGAGTTTAAGGCATAAACATACATCAGTATGCATGCAGGACACATAATAATGATGATTAAAGAAACTTAGTATATCTAAGTTTGAATAATATACCATGTCTCAATTTAAAGTTATTAGAAAATATTGTGCTTCATACATTTTTCATAGTATCAGTTTTACAATTCATCTTGTTCTTTTATTTTGTTCGTTTATTGAAAGAACGATAAATATAATAGAAAAGATAAGGTTGGTTGATTTTAATGCGTATGAAATATGAATACGTAATCCAGCCTCTAATTGCATGACTTATCTTGAATGTTAAGATATTTCACAATTTGACTGTGCAAATCTTACACATATTCGCTCTCTTTTCCCAACATTCTTACAATGCAGTTAAAAAAGCAAATCAGAATATGTTTACTGGAAGTGGTTTTGTCCTTTGAGTACGTTTAATCTACTGTTTCAACAGATTATCTCAAAACTTTGTTGCAGGCGTCCTAGGAATTTTTCACAGCTTATTTGTCTATTAGTCGTCTTCCGTTTTTGTCATCGCGTTTTTAATGTGTGTTTTACTTATACATTTGAATATCCCTTTCGTATTTTCAGCCTCCCCTTTGTTCTTTAATAACAATTGAAAATTACATACCTGTTAAGACGATTATAATTTGTTTCGTGGATGTAAACACAAAAAATCACTGTCCATACCACGGATGTAGGCTTTGTTTTAAAATTCAACCATTTTTCTTATGTTCTCGCATAAATGCAAACTCACCCAGTATTTGGATCAACTACAATGGCCCTTGGTTCTTCCAGACTACCATCATTTTTAATGATTGTTTTTCTGTCTGTTCCATCAAGTCGTGACACTTGTATATGGTTATGTCCCGTATCTGTCCAGAACAAAAGGTTATAGATCCAATCAATAGCTATCCCATCGGGAACATCTACTGTTTCGACAATAATGTCTTCAACATAACCAGAAACAGACGTTCTTGTCACCGTACTCCTAAAAGAAAGAACGTATTAAAGTGAAACTGGAAAACATTAGTGCTTTTTTGTGTTACAGTTGTATCTTTATTGTTTTTGACATTTTACATGTTGTATTACATTTTGATGTATCTGCGTCTGATTTAAACCACACCATTTGTTTTTGTTTTTTTTATAGTTATGTTCTCGCACAATTTTTGTGTTATATTCGATTTGTAATTTTTTTTGCCACAATGGTAACATGATCAATTTTGTATCTGTATTTGTATTTCTTTTTCTATCAATTTCCAATGAACGGATATATATAATTGAAAGGACGCGCAATGGACACTATGAACACAGTGATTTTTTCGACTTTTGCGAAAAAGAAAACTAGACGCCAAGGCCATATATCTGTCTTTATACGGATTTTGGGAAAGTACATGTAAAAAGTAAAAAGATAAGATATCTTCCTCGTTTTTTTTACTTTTGAGTTTTAAGTTTTTGAGTTAGACATCTGAGATCAGCCCTGGTTTTTAATGGGGTCCATGTTGCTCAGTCTTGAGTTTTCCTTCTTGTGTTAACTGTTCTTTTGTTCGTTTTTTGGTCGTTTTTCGTATTTTCATGGCATTGTCAGTTTGTTTTACACTTATGAGTTTAATTATCCCACTGATATCTTCACCTCTTTTTTCATGAGAATGATTTTTATCATTTGATTCTTTGTTTGTGTATGTAAGATTATACGCAAGAGTTGAATAACAGTATTGTGAATGCAATAATATCCATACCTGGATATCTTCTTTGCACGTACATCAGACCAATATACGAATCCCTTCTCATAATGAATGTCTAGATCTACAGCATTGGTTGTTTTAGAAGCAATTGTTTCCGTAACATTTGTCTCAAGGTCCATTCGTTCAATGGTGTTGAGATTAGCAAAGGTCACCCATTTACCAGAACCTTATAAAAGCATAAATTTAGTAGGCATATTATAGCCATGATAAAAAAGCAAAAGACATAAACTTAAGTTATAACTACCACTTGGTCTTTCATCGACATATTAGCTCAGTAGTTCTATACAGTTTAACAAATAGGGATGTTGTTTTATTGAAATTTGCTTTTATAAATCATATGAAATCTTAGACAATCATTATAAATTAAGAAATATATCTCCCAAATACATAAAACTGATCCGTATATGGGTTCTGCCTTACATTGTGGTCTTTTTTGGGAACATCAGCTCTTGGAGGTATGTATACGTTTAATGATATCAAATACTGTGGCATCACTTAAGACACATTAATTGTTGAAATGCGTATATTGTACTGTCAAAATTTGTGCCATTGGTGTTATTAGTATTTATTTGCAAATGTACATCTTTATTGGACAATTAACATGTTTAAATTGAAACTAAACAAAAATTCAAAATATACAAAAATAGATATTTTACCTTTGTAAAGACATGTTTTTTCATCAGGTTTCAATTCAAATCCATCCGCACATGTACAGATAACTGTATATTGTGGAGTTGGCAGACAAAGTTGTTCGCAGCCACCATTGTTTGGAAAACACAGATTAGTACCTAGAATAACATGAAAATACGATGCAATGGATTGAATTTATCATGTGTGATATCAAAAACAGTGCAATTAATTTGTTCATTGGTACGATTGTGGAGGTTGTTTTAATGCAATGCACTCAGCATGCATTATGTGCACGGTACATTCAAATTAAACAAATCAGCGGGATAGGCCAAACTTTATATCACACAAGTCGCAGTTTGTTGTTGAACAATTGTATTCGAGGGAATCGTGAAGAATGACTAAAGACAAATCAAATAGTTGAAAATGAACTAACATATGTATATCGAAATAATAAGCAAAGAACTACGATTACAATATATTACGTAACATACTGGATATGTTTTGCTAAATTGATTTGCAGCAGATATTTGTTTAACATTCAAATGTGTTGCATATCTCCAGCACCTACATCATTGAAATGTGCTTTTATAAAAAAGATAACAAAATTAATTGATGAATAGTTTGTGTGTAATTTTTACTCTATTCGTAGTTATTCGGCTTTATTACAATAAGTACTGCCTTATACCGATTAAGGACAGTGTTACAGTTTTACGTGTAAAGGTTTTACGTCGTCTGACTTTGACATATATTGTGTTTTTGTACTGTTGTTTGTCTGTTTGTCTATTTCCTTTTTAGTCATGGCCTGATGATTTCATTTCCGACTTATGAGTTTGAATGTCCCTTTGGTATCTTTCGCCTTTCTTGTGTAGAAACCTCGTTTGACTCATTTGATTTGCCACTTCAAATTATAATAATTTGATTATTTCTAAAGCAGATTGTTTGGTAGCAAACCACATCTATGAATCCATTGTTAACTAATCATTTTTTGCACAAACGTCTTCCAGTGATACCTTTTGGTTGATTGTTTTCGCTGTAAACTTTAATTCCTACAGGGTTATCTGCATCTGCTCTGATTATTTGGAAATTTGAACCAGTCTGCTTATCTACGCGACAAACACTATTGTTGCTAAATTGGGTAAGGTATAACCAATGTTTATACACTACTAATCCCCACACCCAAGGCAAATTGTCTGCGGACTGCATTAGTATCTGGATATCTGTTCCATCCAACTTTGATGATTTTATTTGCTTAAGCAGAATGTGATTGTCCGCCCAATAAAGTCGGTTTGTCGTGAAATCTAAATACGATTTTGAAAGAAAGAATAAGAAGTTGCTTTTGTATGTTCTTAACATATGATCGTAAAGATACAGTACAGTCATACAGTGGAGGACAATATTCTGAATATGACAGCTTTTGTTTTGGCTTTTAATGCCGCTTTTATATTATGTATGAGTAAATTGAAATGTAGGAAATACTTCAATGGTACAGGAACCTACTGCAACATAATTTTAGGTGTCATCTAAAGAAAACTAAATTGTCTTCAACACTAAATTGATATCGATACAATATGTTCTTACTAAACAATGTTAATTCGTTCTTCACCAGGACAAGCAGGAACTATAAACCATATACCTGCGTCCTTAAAAAAAAAAAAAAAAAAAAAAAAATAGAAAAATTGAGATATAGATTTGACATGATTAAATAAACAAACTTTTGACAACCATGGGGAAATTTTGTAGTTTTTAAACACTCAACTCTTTTAATTCTAATCTCGATCAGGAGAACGAAAATGTTTAGTGGAAAGGAATATAATCCGAATAAAAACGAAACTTCAGAAAAAAGCTCTTAACTCGATTATGACGGTATATTTACAATTAAAAAAATGTCTCTCCGGAGGATCGTATCGATTATTTGTTTGGATTGATATTTCTTGTATGATGTCAAGAAATGAACATTTGTATATTTTTCATAACGATGTATAAATGAAATTATTATTTTCTATCGTGCGTCAGAGGCACGTTTTGGATTTACTTCATCAAGAACGATCAAAGATTTAAATTTAAGTACAAAAACAGATATTTTCTAATTAAGGGAATACTTTTACAAAACATAAAAAGATCGTTTTATGACTTATTTGCTTCCGTGTCGCCTTTCTGAATTTACCTTCATCGGGAATAGTTCAAATCCAAATATTGTAACGACAAGGATGAAACAAAACTATTGCATCATAGATTGGTTTACTTATCTCCCTGGATCTTTTTTGGATGTTTTTTTTTTTATACATTCCACAAATTTTATTGATACCCAAATAAGTTCTATCTCAAAAGTGTCTCTAATCGTACTACTCTGGGATTATCCAACTGACCTTCGTTTATCAAATTCAGATTTCATTTAATGTGTATTGTTTGTGTAGTTAATTTGAAAAAAAGAGCGACAAATGCATTCTATCTATCAGTATATATCCTTTTCTAAAAGAAACCACGTGTGCCTATTTTGATGTTGGTGATACATTGCATTTACGAAACAACTAGATACAAAATGTTTACTTACTTTACTCTTTTGGTAACAAATAGTTCAGTATTTCACAATATTTTAGTTTTCCAAACATATTGTAATCTTAACATTACATTATTTGTAAGCTCATGTATCAATATTATTGTAATTAACTAACCAATTGACAATCCATTCGGAGAACCGATATTAGTTGTCACAATGGCTTGTCTGTTGCTTCCATCAAGGCCACATCTTTCTATCTTTGGATTTTCCACATCAGTAAAAAACATCCATCTTCACATACAATAAATGTTTGTAGTTTCTTTAAGATTCATATAAAAATGTTGTTGACTGGAGCTGGTTTAGAGATTGTCATATGCTACGTATTTTGTGTATTGTTGAGACTGTATGTTGGTTTAATAATCCCTTGTGCAGTGTTTTCTGTTGAGTTTTGTTGAAATTGCGTCTATTTCTATATTCTTGTAGTCAGATGAAAGACCTTACTTAGAACTTTTTAAATTACGCAATTGCATCAAAGACATCTGTTGAATTTCATGTGTAATCTTTATAATACTGATAATACTGATTAACAATAAAATTTTGCAAATGCCGATAACTAATGTATTATGTGTGTGTGTCCCTTGTATCTGTGCTTGTATAGAAATAATGTCCACGTGATAAAATAATTTCAGCCAGTTTTGGTCAACAGGTCTTTTATCGAGACTGTTGATGAGGAACATAACGGATCGTTCACCTGTGTACCAAAATCCATCATTAAGTATTATAAACTTATCACTAGGTACATGTAGAACTCGTGGGTCAATCACAGTTTAGTTAATTTATGATTTCAATGATTTAGTAAGGTATACTAAAGTATTTTTTTTTGTAAGAAATTATTAGGTCTTTCCACTTTTCTGTGGAAAGACCTATTGTATTTGTTCTGATTATTATTATTATTATTATTATTTTTTTTTTCTTCCGCCTAATTTTGTTCTCACGTAAAAATTTTGTTTCGCAAGATGTCGCTTAGATATTTCTTATATAATATCATACAGTTTATGCGCTTTTTATTTTCACCCATTCTAAGTCGAACAATTTTCTTTGTAGGAGTTATCTCCCCGAACACTGTTTTCCTTGTTACTGCATCTCTTCCGTAACCGTAAAAAAAAGCGACAAATTTATTTTACCATATTGCTCGTTATATCCTCAGGATGTTTTGTCCAATTTTGACCGAGGCGGTACGTAAACTCCATATGAGAGTTATTTCCCCTTCTGTATTTGACATAAGGGATATATAAATGTATAGCATGAATGGTAAGTGATAGAGACCTAAGGTATATTGATTTGAGTTCCTTGGTCTATTTAAATGAAATTGAGGCCAAGGTCAAAGGTCAAGGTCATATTCTAAATTTTGACTTTTCCTTGTTATTTGATCTCCTCTGTCACTTTTAAAGATACAAATTAAAGAACAAGTGCAAAATGTTTGCCTAATTGTGATTAAGATATGATACATTTGGTCTGAAACAATCCAATGACATCTTATAGGAGTTATTGTCCCTGAAATGATTCTATTTAAGGTTAATTGATTATTACTCCAACTTGTTACATGATAAAGCCATAAGGTCTTTTGCAAACTGTTGGTTGACCTATGACCTTAAAAATGTCAACCGGAAGTGACCTTGAGTGAACCGGAAGTAGTATTTTTTGCACTAATTTCATGGAAAAGTACCTAGAAACCATATATTTTTTGAATGACCATAGGTTAACCTATCTTTTGAGACCGGAAGTAACATTTTATAAACCGGAAGTAGCATATTATCTTCCTTATTACAGGCATAAGTATATACAAACTATATATTTTTGGAATCAGTGTGAATAAAGCTATCATATGAGACCGGAAGTGACATTTTCTAAACCGGAAGTAGCTAATTATCTCCCTTTTTCCATGCAAAAGTATATATAAACCATATATTTTTGGAATCAGTATAAATAAAGCTATCATATGAGACAGGAAGTGACATTTTCTAAACCGGAAGTTGGCAATTATCTCCCTTATTTCAGGCAAAAGTATATAGAAACCATATAATAATTGAATCAGTATGAAGAAACCAAAGCTTGGACGCCAATAGTAATTTTGAGTAAACTGGATGTAGCTTCTCATCAATAATATAGAACATTGATGTGGAAAGACCTTCAATTGTTCTCTGAACAATTGGTTTTTAATTTAACTTGTTTTATGCATTTATGAAATAACAAGTATCAATAAGTTTGCTCAAACACTTACCCAATATTTGGATAAACAATAAGTGCACGAGGATATACCAGTTGAGTACTAATTAGAGTTTTTCTTTGTGTGCCATCCAACTCAGCGACCATTATATGATCATGACTTGCATCGATCCAGTAAAGATGGTCGTATATCCAATCTACAGCAATGGCATCCGCCAAGCTTAGCGAGTTTGTGATTATGTCGACCGTATCATTTGGGTTGAACAGATTAATTCTACAATGAATAGTGACATAATGTAACGTTGTTGATATGAGACATAAATTTTAATTGCTTTAAACCGTCAATTTCAATGTAATCGTTGGGGTAAGACAATACACACTGGTTTTGACTCTTTAACTGGTTAAACAAGGTAACCTTGTAATTGTATAGTACAGGTGTCGAAACATAAGTAATCAGTGTGCTTGCATTTCTAGAGCACATGAGTTCACAACCCAGCATAATAGTTTTGATCACTGAATATACCTGAAAATGTTTGACCAATAATTAAACTAAACCATTAGTGGTGGTGTGACGCATATACTACACGAACGTTCTCCAAAACGAAATTACAAATTCATCTACATTCAGGTCCGTACGCTCCACAGAGAGTCAAATTGTAAACAAGCATATCACGGCCACTACCCAGCCTTAAAGCCTCTTCCGAACATTTGAAAGTCCCTACTATGTACTGGTTACCTAAATTGAACAAAAAAACGAAATAAATTCCGTTTCATCTCCGCATCTAGTAAGTGTTCTACTACCAATCTATCAGTGCTTCTAACTACCTCCCTTACTACTATCAAAGAACTTGTTATTAACTTTTGTAATAAAGCTTATGAAAATAATGGTATTAATTATTTTTGGAGTGTTAAAAATTCTTTAGAGGTTTTAGATAAAATACATGCTTTTGATTGTCCTTTGAATTCTGTTGACAGTTATGATTTTTCTACTCTCTATACTACACTTCCACACAATCTTATCAAGAAAAAGTTTTCATATTTAATTAAATGGTCTTTTGAAAAATCTCATTACAAATTTATTTGCTGTAACTCGTTTAAAGCCTTTTTCTGTAACGAAAAAGGAAAGTATGCTAGATACACTTACTGGAAATGTGAAGATATGATTGAAGATTTAAATTTTCTCCTGGACAACATATATGTACGTTTCGGCGATAAAGTGTATCGACAAGTAGTAGGTATGCCTATGGGCACTAACTGCGCTCATTTAATAGCAGATTTATTCCTGTATTGCTATGAATCTCAGTTTATGACCAAACTCAGTAAAGACATGTCATTGTTACATTTGGTTGATACATTCAACAATACCTTCCGTTATCTAGATGATATTTTTTCGTTAAATAATCCAGAGTTCTCTAAATATACTACGGAAATTTACCCAATTAAACTACATAAACAGCAGTAGTTGTCCTTTTCTAGATTTGGACATTTCAATCTCTAAAGGAAAACTCCATACGAAAATTTACGACAAAAGAGACGACTTTTCATTCCCTATTGTTAATTTTCCTATTTTAGACGGCGATGTTCCTTTGGCTCCATCATACGGTATTTATATATCCCAACTCGTTCGTTATGCCCGTGTGTGTAGTGATGTCATAGATTTTAACGAACGTAATCAATGCATCACTGGTAAATTATTAAGTCAGGGATTTCGTTACCATAAATTACGTAAAACTTTTACTAAATTCTTTCATAGATACAAAGATTTGATTAGTAAATTTGGCTGTACCTGTAGAAAACTGATTAAAAACGGTATTTTACATCCTAAATTTTACGGCAATATTGTACTTAAATCGCGGAAATCACTATGTGATCCGTGTAAACTCATCGAACCTTTAAACAAACTTATAAGTAAAGGTTATCTTACCAATGTTGTAATTAGATCTTTGAATATAGTTTACATTGGCACTAATATCGATTTTGTCATCAGCAAATTAAAACATAACTAAATTTGTATTTTTTTCAAACGGGATGTATAAAGACACACCCACGTTCATTTTGATCTATAAAGAGGTTAACTATCCTACTGCCTGTCGATACATTTATTTTTGGCATTGCACAAGTCATGTCTTCTTTGACTGTCCATGACGTTAAAATACTTAATCCCTGAGATGTGTTTTAGTTGATTTTAGTCTCTAATGCATGATTATTTATTATTAATTGTTTTTGGCTTTTAACTAGCTGTCAGTAACTGCGAGTACTCTCAAATCGTACTTTCTTGTTTATTTGACCTGTTGATACTAATTGTAATGCTTTTTTGTTATTTAATGTTATTCAGGGTTATATCTGGTCTATATACCAGCTTTGATAAGTGTTTGGTATTACTATAATTTTCACTTCGTACTATGAACATCAAAATTATTTATTTTGTAAAACTATTTCCTTTCTATATTTGAACTGTACACGTATACCTAACAATAAAATTATTTTCATTTACCTGTGTTTAAAGTAATTGCAAATGGCTGATATTTTTTTTCCAGCATATTTTTTTTCTTAAATTGTTTAACATTTCATAGCGGTATAACATGTTACCTTTATTATTCTTCCCTTAGTTTATTTATTTTGTATTTACATTGAATCATAGGTCAAATTTATTTGTTCAGTGTATGTTCACTGGTGTAAATATGTCCTTTGATTGGGTTAAGCTATTTCAATTGATATTTTTAAGTGTGTCTTTCTATGTTGTGATGTTACACTATTGTTTCAGAAAAAGGGTTTGGTAACATTAACACGTTTAAACCCGCTGCAATTGTTTGCACCTATCCTAAGTCAGGAATCAGATGTTCAGTAGTTGTCGTTTGTTGATGTGGTTCATAAGTGTTTCTCGTTTCTCGTTTTTTTTATAAATTAGACCGTTGGTTTTCCCGTTTGAATGGTTTAACACTAGTAATTTTTTGGACCTTTTATAGCTCTCTGTTCGGTGTGAGCCAAGGCTCCGTGTTGAAGACCGTACTTTGACCTATAATGGTTTACTTTTATAAATTTTGACTTCGATGGAGAGTTGTCTCATTGGCACTCATTCCAAATCTTCTTACATCCATTAAAAAATATTTTTTAACATAGTCAAAAGTTCAATTATAATTGTTTCTCTGATTTCCTACTTCAAATGTACTTGTTGGAAAAATATAAAAATCGAAAAAAAAACTAAAAAATGCAAAAAATCAAGCATTATATGAAAAAAAGATCCAATTAGATATGTCGAAACAATATTGTCCTGTACAACATTTAAGCCATTCTTTGAAATCCATTTAGCCAGTGATCAGTTCTTAAAAAATTGAAACATACATTCTTGAATTGTTCGTCTTTACATGGCTATTAAGAAATCAAGGTTTCAACTTCCTCAGGCAAATTGCCAATAGGTGGATTTGTCTATTATTTTTAGGTCCCTTTTGTAACTGTCGATCTTTAAATGTTTCAATTCTGAGACATCCTCGACTTTCAAATATTTTGTTGTGAGCATTCCTGATAAATGTAAATTAAGAGAAAGCGTCGATTGCATACAATTAATCAAGTGTTATTTTACTTTGTTTAGTTCTTTGGTGTAAATCTCCTGTTGACGGTGAATACGGTTGCAAATGCCTCTTTAAAAGTGAATATAATAAAAGATGTTTCTTAAAATAACGTAAGCATTATAAGTATGTTATTATATGAGTTTTACCTTGATACCCGATCAGCTTTTTGATCAGAGTAGTAAATAAAGCCCTTGGTAAAATGATAGTCTACTGATACAGCAGCAACCATGCCCCTCACTACTGAAGTGTTTGTCCATGTCTCCAGTTCTAGCCGATCAATTGTTAACTTGTTGGTGTGCATTACCCATGGGTTATCATCTTCAATAACCATAAGATAAAAAATTAACATAGTTACTACATGTGTCATTGAAAATCAACGATTGGTGACAGCTATGAAACGATATCTAGTTACACAATGTTTTAAATGTCAACCGGAGTTCAATATTTTATCCCAGATCAACAAGTGTAGTTATGCATTTTACATGGTAGCCAAATTGAACGTAAATATTCCCAATAAAATTGAGTTTATCGTCATGTAAAGTGGTAGACCCGTAGTTCTTTGGAACTAAATGTTTGCAAACATTGCATCTGAGTCAACTGTTGGCACTGCTATGCATACATTTTACATGGGTCTCCATTATATTCAATGAATTTTGTTGGTAAAAATGATTTTAGTGTAAAAATGTGCTTAATATATAGAAAAGTATTAGAATTTTTGCTTCCATTTGTTGCAAAAAAACTGTTTGACGTCCGTAGGTAAGCATTTGGAGTCAAACGTAAACATGAGACATTTTAAGGCTCTGTCTACGATACTTAAACTAATAGAACGGAACCCCCTTTCAAAACAACGGAAGAAAAATGAGTTATCTGTTTATAACTGAGGAACAGCATATTTCCTCTGACACGGAATATTAATCCATCGTGACATTTATCAATCTTGATTGACCAAACGAATAGCCAATGGAAAAGTCACAATGTTGCATCTAACATGTTTAATTGAAGAGTAGAACAATCAAATTAACACATCTGTGGCATCGCATGTTCGTATCTCACTCTGTTCAGTGTTATTCGAGAATAATTTCTATACACATGCGGGAATATAACAGACCACTATCAAATATATGAACAAGGCATTTATTCGTTGGTTATATAAACATGTATTTTCATTTAGCTGCCTGTTAACAATTAACAAGCATTTGTAGTAGACATCAATTGTCACCCACCACTCCCATTTATCAGACAAGGAAGTTCTGTTATATATATAGTACGATGTCTTTGTTACACTGATACCTACGAGGTGCTCAATCAAGCATAATGTATTAATTTTCACTGAGCGGATTACATAATTTGAATAAACATGCAATTGTATGTTTGACTGATAAGGGAAGATGTAATTGATTAAGGTATATAATTTTAGACGTTTCTGTAATCCTAGTTTGAAAAATAGTTGTTTTGTGAATGTAAATTTTTTTGTAATAATATGTTGTTAATGTTACGAAGTTTCTTATCTAACATATAAATTACCTGCATCATTATTTTAATAAAATTAGCAGCAAAAACGGCAGTTATATATTGTTCAATTTATCTTTTAAAAAAATGTACAAAAAACATCAAATACTCTTGTATAAACAAAACATTGCTTCTCGCGTTACGAACGATATTACTTTTATCTCTGTTGATATCATTTTTTCATGTCTCATTTTACATTGTAATATTTAACAATGACATAATACACGATATATACAAGATCTCACAATGAAACAGATGGAAAACATTTGCTTTTATAATAGTATATAAATTTGTGAAAATGTGAATACCGTACATCAAATATTTATAAGTTAAATATAGGTTTCTACATTTTCTGTTTTTACTGTGCGATTGTTCTTGAAACTAGTAGTGTTTGAATTATATCTTTTTTAGGCAGTGTTTTTATATTTTTTATTTGTATTGTCTGGTTTTAATATTTTTCCTCTGACTGTTAAACATTATAAATCATGACAATACAACTACAATTAGTTACTTTGTATAGCCACAATTTCATATATATATCATTCAGTTCATTTTAATTTCAGTTGTATATTTCGTAAAAAACAGAATAAAACTAATAGAACAACCTGTAGAAATCATTTTAACATCTCAGGAGGTGATAAAGATAAATAAGATAAAACAACTGGTTTGATGTCCCTAATTATTTAAAACCTACCTTGAGCTTGTACAATCCATTCATTTAGCATGTTTGCGTAAACAATCAATAATTGAAAATATTGTTTTAATGTAAATGTGTTCATCATGTTATTTTCAAATTAACATCCCACACAAAAATGTATTGCATTAATCGGTATAAAATAATCACATAGCTATGTACACTTGCACGTTAGTTATTTATGAAAAAGTGAGATTAGAAAAGGTTAGCAGTTTGTAATTGCTTACTAACACATTTTATTTATTCAAATTAAACCCATTGTCGCCTTGAATCGAGATAGGAAGTAATTATATATACGTATTACATAACTTATATAGTCTCAAATTACCGTAGAAAATACCCAGTGATGTATTCACATTTTTAGATGTGAGGCGACAAAGTAGAGGAGAGGAGAATTGTTATTTTTTTCTGTCTCTTTTGTTATTTCGTTTTACGTAATTTTGCAAGCCAGGATAGTATTAACATTTTTTTGTTTGGCTTTCTCCAATTTATAAATGAAATTCATTCATTTAATCAAACCTTCAACTTGTTGTTATAATATAATTTGTCTTCTTTCTTTTGGATTTTTTCTTCAAATTAAAAAAAAAGCTTCTTTTATAAAAATCAATGGACGAGTTTCAATTTTCAGAAGAAATAATAAGACTTTCCTGTATCTTTACCTATTAAACCGAATCATGACAATATATATTGAGCTTATTCATTGAGGTCCTGTCAAAATAGTTTGATACATTTTTCTTTATAATTTTGTTTTAGACATATACATGTACATCGATCTCTTAGGTTCAATATTCCTTTGTGCACTATGCATTGAAATCGGTGTCGAATTAAATATTTTACTTGACATAAACTGGTTATGTTTCGGAGCACCTAGGTTAGGGCAACCTTGTTTATGCAGGGGAAGTATCGATCAAGCTTTATATTTTTTATCAATGTTGTGTTGATTAATGTTTTTTCTCTTTTCTTTCAACTTATACTTAATCACTGTCCTTTATCGACCTCTCTCACATATAGAGATATCATATATAACAAAATTGTAATGTTCAGATATTTTTGATTGTAATTAATTAGGGTTAACAGGAGGTAAACTAATTTGAACCATGTTTTATCACCTATTACATGTATATGTAAGAGAATGATAATTCCTTTCTTCATGATCAAGTACGAGCGTTAGCGAGTACTTATCACGAAGAAAGAGATTATCATTCTCTTACAAACTTAGAATATTGTAAAGTGCTCAAGGCTTAAATGTAGTTAATGCATAACTTCCTTTTTAGGCATGATTTCATTGATGGATTAGTTTTAGTGATGTAAGGACTTTCTTATAATTTTGGAAAGTCTATTTTAAAACAGAATTTGACTGATCAATATATTCAAAACTGGTTTTCGCAAATAAATAGCTCATCTAGGGGAGAATTTTATGGACTTTTTAAACATGAATTTAAACTTGAACCGTATCTACTTAGATTGGCTGTATCCGATAGAATATATATGTGTAAACTGAGATGTTCAAATTTAAAATTTCCCGTAGAGACAGGAAGATGGGCAAAGATCCCTAAACAAAATAGAATATGTCATTTATGTAAAAATAACATTGGTAATGAATATCATTGTATGTTTACTTGTACATATCCACAAATCGTGGATCTGCTCAAAAAATTATTCCAATACAAATCCATCAGAGATCAAGGTGATTGGAGTGCTGTCAAATTGCAATGTAAAGTTATATCGTAATATTTGCAGATATATCAAAAACATTATCAAGTATTTATAATTATTCACTTATTTATACCTATGTAAATACTCATAAATTCATGACATTGTGTTAAATACAAATGATAAATATACTTTAAACTGACTGTATTGTATACAAATGAAAGTGCCACGAGAATCACGTGATTATTTAATGTGTGTTAGCTCCTGTTGTCGTATATGTAATGTTTTTCATAATTGTATTACAATTACTGTATAGATATTTCGTTTATTTATGTATGTATGTATATTGACTTCTTGTACACTGTTGTGTCTGAGGATAATAAAACTTTGAATCTTGAATCTTGGAAAATATAATAGATTGTGTTTTAGACATTAGATGACACAACAGTACAATGAAATGGTAAGAAATGTTTCCTGATTGTGAGTATGAATGTAAATCATGTAATATTTTAGCGAGGAATTATCTTTTTGTTTATTTCCAGTTCAAATCAATAAATTCAAAATTTGATTTACAAATAAATTTTATTTTACAGCCAATATTTTAGTCCAGTCCTTTACATCAAATACTACTTCATTATGTCAGGGAAATGTTCAAATACAATGCCTTTAAAATAGTTTAAAATATATTCAAGAGTTAAACATGTTAAACTAAATTCCTTTTTTTTAGAATTTTATCAGAATATTGGAAATAACTATTTTCACCAACCACGGATCCAGTAATCTGAGTTTTTGAAAGAGTTGACGCTAAATATTTAGGTTTTATTTAATTTAAAAACTTTTTATTTTTTTTTGCACTGCACTGCATTGCTTTGATATTATTTTTTTCTTTTTCTTTTTTAGTAATTTGAAGTTATTAATATTCTCATAATAACGTTAACGGTACCAATATTACTGCACCAGTAAAATTCATCTTATTTTGATTTTTTTGTTTGTTTCAAAATTCAACTTTTAGTCAGTTTTAATCACTAATTCTTTCAAGCTGATAAATGTGCTTCGGGACATTTGTAACTCATTTATAGAAACTCTTTGTTTTGAACTGTAAGTAGGCCTAAACAAAAGGATAATCCCTTACTAAGAACATGATTTCATTTATTCTTCACAATTAAGAAACACCAAATCCTACAATTTCATTGGTCGAGAGCACTTTGCTATATTCTTATATATTTTAGTCTGATAAATTGAAATATTATTCCCTCAGGCAAAATTGACCGTCAAAGAATTCATATATGTTTTGGTCATACAGCTGCTAATTTTCTTCGCATTGACACATCACTGGTTTTCAAATGTTTAGTTTGAGCGTTCATGGGTGAAGGTAAATCAAGGAAAATGCTCACAATCATGTTTAACGCCACCACATTTTCAATATGTTAATGTCACAAGTCGGGAATTCAGTGGTTGCTGTTGGTTATAGTTTCTAATTTTAGTTTTTCGTATATTGTTTTTTCATCATTAGGCCGTTTGTTATTTCTTTGAATTGTTTCACATTGTGTTATGTCGGGGCCTGTTATAGCTATCAGTACGCTGTAGGTTTTGTTCATATTTGAAGACCATGCGGTGACATATAGCTGTTAGGAGAACTAGAAAGAAGAACAATGCATGTTATTTTCATGTTCGTGGTTTTAGGTCGTTAAATCAGTTTCAAATTAAGCATAGGTAGTTCGTCGCATAAAAATGAAAACAAAAACTTGATTTTCTCGTACCAAGAATGTGATACCAAGGACAAAATGAAGGATGTTTAAAAACTCAAATATGTGAAAAGCAATTGATAAAGGGAAACCTTAAAGAAAAGCAAATATCCGAGTAAGGTCTACTTTTGTCTAAATGAGTTAAACCGTAGTTTCTTTATAAATTCTGCATTACGTACAGAATCAGCGATAACTGAAAACCTAGTTACTAGCAGCGGTATTGACCCAGTGATAGAAATGAAAACAATACACCGTATACAATTGGTGCGTCTAATGTGCCTTTCTGGAGTTACCTTAATCAGGTTATAGTAAGGGTTGAGCGCTCTCAAACATGTGTAACCCCTCAACATTCTTTATGGGCCAGTCTCAAGTCAACAGCCTGTTATTCAGTGGTTACTGTTGTTCATGTCTGTCATATTTGTTTTTTTTTAGGAAATTGCATTGTTTAAATTATGCCGTTTGTTTTCATATTCATATTTTTCATGTCGGGGCCATTTATAGCTGACTTTTCGATATGGATTGTTCTCATTGTTGAAGACTTATGATTTATTTTATAATCTTCATGTGAAATCTGGTGGATAGTTGTATCATAGTTAACCTTACCACATCTCCTTATTTTTATTTTGTTATAAAACGCATTACGTAAATTTTCCCTTAATGTTTGTGCGTTGTTTTCTTAACTTCAGGTGACTAAATGACTATAACTGTATCATTAAAATGCACAAAAACAAATTATAAACATGATTGTATATATGTACATTTAAATACAGCGTTGCATTTTTCACCAAAAGTAAATACAAATTAACGTAATGCATTGATTTGGAAGACAAAATGACATATTAATTAAAATAGGATATGCATGACTTCGTGATTTTCCATTTTATAAAAATCGATGCCTAACACGGATTGTGTAAAACTTTATTCTTTCACGAGTTTTACTAGATTTGTACTCAAAATTAAATATGTAAAAATCCAAAATCTCAAATTCTTACATTTACATTCAGGAAATGTTACTTTGAATTACTAACAATTTCTTGGATTATCATTTTGAATTACTTTTAGTATAACTAGTTATCATTTGTGAATACTTATCACATATTTGTAAATATTTATAATTAATATTTAAACATTAATTGCATTCAGTATAAAAACAAGTAAAAACAACAGATAACTACTCAAAATATTACTTCTAATTACTTCAGATTACTTATATATGAATTACTATGAATTACTAATATTGATTACTCAAAATTACTGAAATGAATTACTTGAAATTTTCAACAAATTACTATGAAATGAATTATTTCATTTGAATAGTCACTTCTAATCTTTACTTCTTATGATCAATAAGTTTGATAAACTATTTTATAATACTGTATGTACTAGCTAAAAAAATTTTTTTGCAGAGGTCTTTGTCAGATTTGTTTGTTTGTTTGTTTTAAATTTATAAGTCAGTTGTGTTGTATGTCTGTAATGTATGTTGACTAAGTTTGGGTTCTCAGTTATTTCTGTGTTAGTTTGAATTGTTAAGTCAGTTGTGTTTGTGTTTGTATGTTTGGGATGTATGTTTACACAGTTTTCTCGGCTGGATCATAATTATTGTCATGTTGACCAATTACGTTTGTTTGGATTGCTCACACTATTTTGTAAATATAACGAACTATAATAAATTACTGTCTGACAAGTTGGATGCATGTTAAACTAGCATTAAAACCAGATTAAACCCAACATTTTCTTCGGAAAATGCATGTACCAAGTCATGACTTTGATAGTTCTTTTCCATTCGTTCCGTTGGTTGATATAGTCGAGCGTTTTTCCCGGTTTAATGGAATTCCCCCTATTTGAATTACTTTTGGTATGTTTGTTAATACCTTTCTGAAAAATTCAATTACTTGATCTTATTCATTGAATTACTTTTTTTGTAATTCTAAGAAAATTATCTTACGGTAAATGGAGGGTCTAAATTAAAATCCATAGAATTTAATAATTTGTCAAAATGTAGTTTATATAATTTTTTTTCAAAAATATAATAAAAAGTATGGGTTATCGGGCTATTTTTCATGCTAAAGGTTGTGCAAAATTGTCTGATTTTGTATAAATTATGCATGGAAAACCCAGTTTTGTGTTATAAAAAGAAAACTAAACCATAGAACTTTAAAATAAAATAATAGAAGATAGCTCTTATATGCTTTCAAATGAGAAAAAAGAAAAAATAGGGTCACCGGACTCGTTTTCTTGCTACATAATAAAATAGGTAAATTCATAACACATTCTATCATAAAAGTTACTTTATATGAGTTATCTCCCTTTATGTGGCAAGTTGAAAAAAGTTGAATCAAACAAAAAATAATCTGTTTTTGTAAAATACAGCCGTGAAATATGATAAAACATATATTTTTTTCATATTAAACTGAAAAGTTTTACACATGAATTACATTATCTACTCTAGAAATTTGCACAGTTCATTAAAGATCTAGACCGATTGTTGGTGGATGTGCTAAAATGCGATGAATGTCAATGTAGAAGTCAATTTGTTGTTAAAAGTAGCATTCAATTTTGTTTAGGTAAATCACCGAGAGTATAACCCGTTTGGTTAAAAACACTCAGGATAAATAGTCATTGCATTTCCGGTCCTTACTATAACGTTGTAGTGTACTTTGTAAATATATTAGAAAAAAAATAAGAAGTCGTTCATACAATCGTAAATACATTACCACTATAGACGCTAAATACAAAGATTATTTTCTATTAAAACCAGTACTAATTGAAAATATTGTAAAATATTCATAGTTGTTTGAAATGCAAATAGCAATTGATCAGTCAGAACGAATCAAAATGAGCGAAAAATCTATTCTGCTGCAGTGAATGAGAGTGAGGAATAAGATAGATCACCGAAGATGGTTATTACTGCAACCGCAGACAATATGGATTGTTTGATATTTATATACTAACTAAGAAAAATATTAAACTCTCATAATATAATAAATGGATATCGGTAGATGTTGACTAGTCACCACACGTCATACAGACCATCACACATCAGCGAGAGGATCATGGCGCTTCTCCGCAGACCATCACACTGTAGCGTGACCATCGCTCTTCAGCGTCCCCATTGCACATCCGAGTTCTACATATCTATGTTTTTTTTTTTAAATTTATTATATCAATACGACATTTTACCTTGGTAAGCATGAAACAAATACAATTTAAGTACAAAAACAGAGTGTTCTTAGATGAGTCACTGCTTATGTCTTTTTTTACCGCTGTGCATGCTGATCAATAATTGATAAGACGACAACAAATCGAAGTCATCTGTCAATTTTCATTAACATAACGACACTTAGGCAGAATTTAGTAAAAATATGACTAAGCAGGTAAACTATTTCAGGAATGCATTTGTGGAGAAGGTAAAGTTAGAATTGTTACTTATAATAAACAGTAAAAATTCTGTTCTTCAACTCAAACTTTATTGGTACAATCTTAACTGATTGGTTACCGTTTTCTAGAATTCAAGAGATTCTGGTGCAATAAATCAGTACCTTTTATGAAATTTCAACTATAGAAACGGTTAAAACCTGAAGCGATATTGAAAGCCTTCCATTTAGCCCAAAATTTCACTATTTTCAATAAATCGCAGTAAAAAAGTCAATTTTGATCATGAATATTAAATGGTTTTGTATATTCATCTAGCAAATTAATATGCTTTACCAAGTATAATTGTGTCTTTTTGTCTTTTTACTTTAAAAACGGATGTTCTCTATTTTTATAAAACCACAAGGGAGCCTACTGGAATGAATCTTATCAAACCAACTATGTATATGCAATGGAAAGAGATATTTAATTTGGTAAACTTCAAATTAAAGCCAACTTTACTTGAGGGAGTTTCTAAATATTTTTTTAAATCAAAAACAAAGAATGTAAGAAAAAAAAACTCATCAAATTAACATGATTATCAATTTGTACTCCAGGCGCGCGTTTCTTCTACAGAAAATTCACCAGCGAATCTAAGAAAGATATATCAAAAGGCATGCCAGTATCGAAGCACTGGTTACTGAGCTGCTGGTGAAATATTAAATTTGACACTTGACCTTTGTAAACATAAATCAAACGGATAATAATCGTACGATGAAAATGATGACAATAGATTAGTCACTGCTTGAGTGTTTTTCTTTGTGTAATTATAAGTTGTAAATAAGGACGTAAAGTTATGCACATTGATAGATGATGTAAGATTTTAACAGGAAAGAAACATTTTGTTCAATAAAAGTGAGTACTAATATTCTATTTTTCATTAGTTGATATTTCATAATTAACATTCAATAAATTAGTACATATTTTGCACATAATAGTTCCTACGCATAGCTGTATATTTGTAAATAAGTAACATATTTGAATAATGTTGGTGTGAAAAAAAGCTTGAGGAATAGGGATCACTGTGAAATCCTTTTTGAAATTTTTGAAATTAAAATAAAATGACATATTTTGACTGTTGCTTAAACCGGCAGTACATATTGTTTGACTACCACAATTCCGTAAATCAGTGCAGTCTTATTTGCAATTAAAGGCATGTTAAATGTTTAAGCACCAGCCAGGATATGGTATAATTTGATATGAAATTACTGTCAATTTATTTTAACTTAAGTAAGAATAGCCATAAATGCTTGAAATTGCAGAATTTAACGTAGAAAGCAATATGGATATGATTTTTTTTCTCTCTAAACAACTTGCATTTAGTACATAAGTGCAAAAACTGCCAAAAACCCCAATTTCATATCGGGTTAGTAATATTAAAATATTTGCTATACGATTTCTTGCACAGAGATTTTTATTTGGAAATCATATCTTTTTGTGCAAGACATATTTTCAGATCTATTTTGTCGTAAAACAAATGTGTAAAATAGCCATTATCAACTATCTCTACTTCGACTTGTTGATTTGCAAATGATTTTTCTGCACTAAAGAGAGGTAGTACATTACAAAGGGATATTCGAATTGATAAATTGAAAACGAACTGACAATGCCATGGCAAAAAAACGAAGACCGACCAAAAGACCACAGTCTACAAAACACAATATATAAAAAAATAATACCCGGGGTGTTCTTATGTGCTCTGGAAGAGGATGCAGAACTTGGTCCACATGTGGCACTCGTCGTGTTCTTCATGTAAGTGCAAATCCGGTTATAAGTCTAATTCGGTAGATCACATTCGATGGACGGGTAACTATAGTGGGGGGTTATGTTAATTTCTTTTAAATGAAATGTCCATACCTAATTCCGTTATCAAGCAATTTATGTAATGTGATTTATACACGAACGGTGTTATTTTTGCTTTATATGCGAAGACAACAACATATTATACAAGGACAGGTGCTTTACAATATTTTGGTCTTTAAAGATCAATAAGGAATGTGTATTCATATACCCATTCAGTTTTTAATTCTAATTTGTAGTATTGAGCTTACAGCCTAAAATCAATTCGGAAAAAAGTATTTACGTCTTCTGTCTTGCGTTTAGCTAGTTGTCTGGCATAGTCCTCGACTGAATCCATCAGTATTTTGAAGCGGTGTTTCCTTTTGATGGATTAAATCTCAAGATCTTTCGGGCCTCTTGATAACACATTCGCAGAGGGGTGTTATTAATAATGTTTAGGTCACCAGTTATAACGTGGGCAGCCGGATTATATATGAATCGGGAACTAGCAAAGGTGCAATCGAGAAATGAAGACTTGAAGTCATTAATATTGAAATCCTGCAACACGTGTTTGTAATTGAAAGGCTTAGTCGCAATTGGTTTGATATAGGTATTAGAGATAATAGGTAGAGACTATTAAAGTAGAGAGGTATTTTCGAGCAAACTGGTAATTTTGTATGAAGAATATTACCGAAGTTGACGGTATCGAAACCTTTGTTGGCAAAGAAAGTTTCAGAAAGGATATTTTCTCCGCTTTATCTGTTTAAATGCGAGCCAAAGTGTCAAGATTATATCAACAAATTCATTTATCAATAAAACTAACATTTTTGTGAAATTTCAACAGGCAACTAGCTGCTCTTATTACACATTTACTGTTTGTACTTACACATGTGTCTCCCATCAACTTGGTATGAGATAACAACTGAGTGCTTTTTTCTATTTATTTTTCAGATTTCCGATATCATTGAATTTTGATGGCACTGATCAATATCAATTTGTTACTCGGTTTAATTATGCATGTCGTAAGCCGCGATGTAGTTCGTTGTCCGATTGAGCTTTGTAAATGTACAAAATTTGCAGCCATCTGCTCTGGAAAAAATCTTATTTATATTCCACGTTTTCCGGTAAACGTTAGAACAATTACTTTTCTTAATGGAAATATTAGAACACTATCAAGGGAAAGTATTAAAAACCTGACTTTCAATGATATCCTCAAGCTTAATTTTACGAACAACGCTGTAGTTAGACTTGAACCTGAAACATTTTCTAATTTCACGACAATAGTGGCATTGACCATCTCATCGGAACCATCATTACTAGCAACAGATGTAATGTATGCATTGAACAATATGAAAACAGCACATTTAAAGTCACTCACTCTAACAGGCAACGAATGGTCATTTCTTCCAAACGACATGTTTAAGGCAATAAAAACGAATAAAATTCGAAATATTAACCTTAACAGAAATAATTTTCAACTGTTGAATTTCTCATGGTTTTCAAATATGTCTCATTTGCTAAATCTCAGAGTCAGTTTCAATAAAATTTCAACAATTATACAAGACAGTATTTTCAGCCTGAGAAAACTTTTTCTACAAAGCAATGAAATAACAAAACTTCCAAAGTTTTGTATAAATAATGGTAATAAGAGTGCACTTCCAAATTTAAGACATTTATCCCTTATCAATAACAGAATTGGAAATATTGGACAATTTCGATGTTTTCCGAGGCTCAAAACATTGAAAATTGGTGACAATTGGATCGGTATAATTAAAAACAATACTTTTACAGAGTTAAAAGAATTAACTGATCTCAGTTTACAAGTTATAGGAAAACCATTGAAAAAAATTGAAGATGGAGCTTTTAATATTCCGTCATTACAAAGGTTATCACTCCGAGATTGTCATTTCCGTTTTGAACGTCTATCACCGTCGGCGCAAAGTAGTATGCTGTCAAGCTGCCGTGATTTAGGATTCCTTGATCTTTGCGGGAATTATTTAAATTCAACTATTTTGCCTAGGATAATATCACAATTGAAACAGTTAAGATATCTTAATTTGGAAAACACTAGGCTTAGCTTTTTGCCTGAAGGCGTATTTCCAGAACTGCCAGTTATACAAACGCTTATCATGACAATGAATCAAATATATGGATGGGACAGAGACGTGTTTGCTCGCGTGACAAGTCTACAATATCTAGATTTACGCCATAATTTAATAAAGATAGTAAATGAGTCATCTTTTCCAACTGCGTTACTTGCAAATTTGAAAAAGATAGGTTTAGCAAAAAATCAATTTGCTTGTACTTGTGAACAGATATGGTTTGTCAGTTGGTTACGGCAGACACATGTAACGCTTTTAGAATATCCAAAACGTTATTATTGTACTACACCAGACAATTATATTGGCATTTTGTTAAAAGATTACAAACCTTCCGTTTTATCGTGCAACCCAATATTTTCGATTGTGATTTCAATTTCTGCATTAATTTGCCTTTGAATATCGACAATGATCATTTTTCTAAAATGTAATACAAATATTAAGAACTTTTTATACCTTCTCAAAGTTAAACAGTTTAGACGACAGGGTTATCTTCCTATCGTGAATAGCGATGATTATGAATATCACGCGTTTGTTGTTTATTGTGATGAAAACAGAATGTGGGTTCATGACGAGTTCGTCAAAAAACTTGAAACTGAGGAGGGATTTAAGTTCTGTGTTTATCACAGAGACTTTGAGGTTGGAAAACCAATCAGTGTCAACATTGATCAATACTTAAAAAAATCATGGAAGGTTGTTGTTATAATATCAAATGCATTTGCTAAAAGCGAATGGTGTCAGTGGGAAGTCGATATAATTCAGGAGAGAAGACGTCGACAAGGCAGAAATGCACTTCTCTTAGTAATGCTTGAAAATCTCACCTCGAAAAATATGACAAGTCCTCTCCGTACTTTACTAGACAGTACCCCGCATCTGAGGTACAAAAAAGGAATAGGTGAAAACTTATTTTGGAACGCAGTAATTAAAGATCTTCGAAAAGCCGTTGGACAACCTCCGATTTCTGAACTATAGATATAAGTTGTTATTGATCTGTTGGTCAGTTTCAATATGTGCCAATGTCTGTTTAGCGTTGATATCTGTTTTTTCAATTAAGCTTACCTCATGTACTACTTGCGTTGTGTCCAAGTAATGGGAACTTTTATTATTTATCAACATTAATATATAATCATTCTGTAATTTTTACTTGTACAATTTTTGTTTCAACGTCTGTAATTAATAACTGAATAAAAAAGTATTTCTATATATATAATGATTTTAATATATATAATGCCTTTACATTTTTACAATACATAATATATTCTTTATGTGAATTATATTACTACCTTGTTTTATTTTGTTTTCATTTTGGTTTCCTTGTGTAATTGGTTTATTTTTCTATTATCATAAGATGTGTGTTAAAAGGAAGAGAACAATATCAGAGGAGCAATAAAAACCATAAATCGAAAAACACAAAATATTAAATTAACGAAAAGAAGAACAGCAATCCACGAAACATTTCGCAGAAATGTAACGATATTTCAACATAAAAAATAAAAGTTAACTGTTGGTATAATATTGGGTTTGCAGAAAAGCAGAAAAGGAAATGTGATATCTAAGAAACAACAGAAAGAAGAGGAGCAATAAAAACCATAAATCGAAAAACTATAATATTGACGAAAAGATGAACAGCAGTCCACGAATCACTCATCAGAAATGTAAAGTAATTTCAACTTTCAGATATAACTAATATATGTAGCCACATCAGATAAAAAATATTGGTCATTGATCGCATCTGAGATATAACATGTATAGTGAATATAAAACATCTCTGCCTTCTTAAATTGGCAAAAGATCATATGAATTTGTAAATTTAACATGGGAGTTTTTAATACATGTATACGAAAAACGAACATAGAAATACTACTATCTAGTAAATTGAACAACTCTGACAGACTTGAAATATTGTACATAATATGCTTATCTAGATTATATATATTTCATTTAACTAAAACTGTTTTCGAATAAGAATGAACGTGTTAGACAGACAACATCTTAGGATAAATATATTGACAAATCTGACTAGATCAGATTTGATTGCACAAAACAATGGACATTTTGTATAGTTGTGCTTCTTGTGTGTGATATTAGATGGCTCGCCAGAATCCCTTGATGCATCTCTTCCTGTTCTCCAATTTTATGCTGAAATCTCGGGACTTGAGCTTAATATAGAAAAAAACAAATTTTGTTTTGGATAGGTAGCAAAAAACATAGCCACGATCAAATTTGTGTTAAGTGGGGATTGAAATGGGGCTCCAGTACATTCAAGCTTCTTGCAATTAATTTTTCTATTCTGTTTCACATTTAATGTTTACTATATGTTTTCATAATCATCCGGAACAAATCGTACTGGACCGATTTCTTACATCACCTTATGTATTGTACTACGTGACTGCCTTTAATTTCTGTGACACCGTCTGCTTCAATATTTCAACACATGTAACATGGACGACATCTAATTTTCTGAGGAAATCGAGACATATCACGGTCAAGTACGTTTTATTCATTTATAAACTGTGATAATTTAATCTGTTTAAGTCCGTTAATTTGGATAAGTAATTTATTAAATGCATACGAACTGTAAGTTATTTATATCCGAGATATGAACTGTAAATTCTACTTTTTGTTTTCATTTGATTGATTTATATAATATTTGCATATGAACTTTAATATGTTCTTTCATACACATTGTAAGTATTTCTTTTTGTTTAATTGCAGTTTACCAAACAATCTACTGACTACTGTATAAACCTTTCTGGTGGAATATTATAATTACAATTTCCGAACAAGTTGTGTTCTTTATATATTCGCCGAGATTGCGATTCAGTCACCTGGTTAAACTAGTTGAGTCCGGCTCAGCATAGGAAATTGACAACAACTTGTCTACACATCTCCTGACCAAGAAATACAACGCAACATCGTTCGTAGCTGTTACTTTCACACAACGCAACATAGCCTTTGTGTCCTAGCAGCAAACCAATAACGTTGAACAACATTGCCTACAGTAAGTTGATTTACATCATGGATCCCAGTCACGGGGGCAGCAAGACGAGGTTCAGTCCCCAGAGGGTGACGCTAGTGAAGAACTACTAGAAAATCCGTCTGAAACCACACATTTAGATTAAAATCCCGAGACTAGGCGAATACGTGACCTCACGGAAAGGGGTCATGGAGCATTCACAGAAACGTGACAAGTTCTGTCAGGAGCTAGAGGCCCTCTGGTCAGATCTAGAATTCCAGTTATTGGAAGTGACCACGCCTCCTAACGAACTTCAGCAACTGCTAACAGCACAGGACAAAATTGTACAAGCCTGTACTAATTATCGCAGGCTCACAGACGAGGACCTGAAATTTCTGAAAAATACCAGAACGTTGGACAGTCTTAAAGACATTGATACTTGAAATCTTTCAACAGATATTCGACTGTCCAAAATGGACCTGGCAATTGAAACATTACACGAGCATCGCCTCACCCTGACAAAGGCTAAATCCACTAGAACGAAGGCATCTAAGGGTAAAAAGACATCGCACAGTGGGAGCTCAAACGTCTCTGATATGTCAAGCCTAGCACGGAGGAAGCGTGCCAAAGCAGAGGCTGCTAAGTCTAAAATTGCCTTTGCCGAAAAACATACCCTGATCCTTAAACAGGAGGCCTTATTAGAAGAACAAGCTCTGTTCAGACAAACGGGAGTCAAAGCCGAAATGGAGCAAGAAGCCATCCGAGCAGAACAGGAGGCCGCTCAAAGAAAAGCTCAATTAGAACAGGAAGCCGCTCAAAGAAAAGTTCAATTAGAACAGGAAGCCGCACAAAGAAAAGCTCAATTAGAACAGGAAGCCGCCCAAAGAAAAGCTCACGAAATACGCAGGAAAACTCAATTGGAACAAGAGGCTGCGCGTGTAAACCGACAAAGAGCTGAACTAAAGGCCAATTTGAACCTTCTAGAAGCACAGAAAGAAGCTGCAGTCGCAGAAGCCGAGGCTCGTATCCTAGAGTACGATGATAGCCAAGCGCTAGACGATCTCCCTGACGAGACGGAAGACCCGCTCCAACGTGTGCAAGACTTTGTTAATAAACATCCTGAACCAACTGCCATACAGGAAGTGACAGCCCCTCAACAGAAAAAACAAACGTCTGTTAAGATTGAGCTAAGTCATGAAGCGCCAGACTTCGTGCCCTTCGTGGCATTGAACCTGCCATCACAGACACCTGCGGTCTTGCCTACACATGCTAAGTCACCGGAAGTTAATGTATTCCCAGATCTGGGAACAATAACTGGCATAGGAAAATAGGGCGTTTCAGAAGAGATCCCTGTTGCATACCAAAAACTAGGCGTTTCAGAGGAGATCCTTGCTGAACACCAAAAACAGGGTGTTGCAGAAGAGATCCTTAATTGTTGCACGACAGCAACAAATCAACCCTACGTCGGAGATAACCAGATTTCTCCTACGCAAGGACCTGGTGTTCTCCCGGCTAACAAGCTTTAATGACCGGGCAGAATCCCTCCATACATGGAAAGCCAGCTTTAAATACGTCACAGACGAATTGCAAGTTTCTGACTCTGAACAGATAGACCCATTGATCAAGTGGCTCGGGCCAGAGTCTGCTAAACATGCCATTAGCATAAGAGCGTCGAACGCAGATAATCCTACCAAAGGCATACAAAGATTATGGAAGAGGCTTGACGAGCGGTATGGTGCTCCAGAAATGTTCGAGGCTTCTCTCACGAGTAAACTTGTCAATTTTCCAACCTTGACAAATAAAGACAATGCACGTCTCTATGAACTGTCTGATATTTTATCAGAAATAGAATATCACAAGGAAAATCCCAAGCTGGGATGCCTGCTGGCTTATTTCGACTCACCGTCTGGAATAAACCCTATCATTGAAAAACTACCCTATGGACTTCAAGAAAAGTGGATAAATAGGGCATCTAGATATAAATCGAACCACGTTGCCTTTCCGCCATTTACGGAGCTAACTGCATTCATCAGTGAAATTAGCAAAATTAAAAACGACCCTGGTTTCATCTTTCGGTCAAAAGCCACACCTAATACAAAAGGTGCTGCGCCTAGGTTGACGTCTCACCCCAAGACTAAAGTTGGTGCTCATAAAACAGCGGTTGAGCAGCAATCTGGAGACGCCAGCAAACAAGGTCTTTGTACTCTGCACAATACAAAGCATTCCTTAAATTAATGTCGAGCGTTCCGAGCCAAGTCAATTGAGGAACGCAAAGGTCTTTTTAAACAAAATAATGTCTGTTACAAGTGTTGCGATTCCACCACACACAGAAGCCGGGAATGCAATGCACGCATAAGTTGTAAAGAATGTGGAAGTAAACAACACACTACTGTACTTCACATCACTAAACCACAGCAACCTGCAAGTTCTCAGTCTACCCCGCCTAAGCAAGCCTACGGCGGGGAGCCAACAGAATTGGCTGAAACTAAGTCAACCTCAGTTAATTCTACCTGTCATTGATGACCAAAGCAAACGGTCACTAGCATCGCCCGAATTCTTCAATCTTTTCGACATAAAAGATAAACCGGAAAACTATACCTTATCAACATGCTCCGGCAGAGTAGTCACTTCCGGGAAAAAATAAAGGGTAATGACAAATTTGACCTGCCTGTACTGATAGAATGTGATCATATTCCCAATAAAAGGGACGAAATTCCTACTCCTGAAGTCACAATACATCACCCTCATTTAAAAGAACTCAGAGGAAGCATTCCACCAGTAGAGGAACATTGCCGAATTCTTCTCTTAATTGGCAGATACCTTATAGAGGCACACCACGTCCTTGACCAGCGCATAGGACCACCCGGAACTCCATATGCACAACAATTGAAACTAGGTTGGGTAGTGATAGGAGAGACTAGCATTAACAAGCAGCACGTGCCTTTTGAATTAAACGTCAAAATTACCAACATTTTGCCTACAGGACAACCGTCAACGTTTCAACCATGCACAAGCAAGTTTGACATCCGGGAAAATTACACAGACCCCGTTAAGAAAGATTTACAATCGCCGCTCTTTGAGAGAACAAGGGACGATGATAAGCCTGGTATGTCATAGGAAGACAAAATGTTCATGAAGCAGATGGACAACGAATTTGTGGGGGACTCGGAAGGAAGTTGGGTACCACCGTTACCGTTCCGAGTGCCAAGAAAGCCATTGCC